CGCAGTCTACTCACACACACACACACACACACACACACACTGCCATCTCAGCATCTCAAAGCACTTTAGCAGATTAAACGTCACCACTAAATAACCGGTAGAAAAGCTCACACACACATATGACCCTGATCTACAACATCCAGACAATAAAACTGCTGAACACCACTCAGTAAAACACAAATTACAACAATGCCAATCTATGGGGGGGGGGTTGTATACACATGAATACAGTTACAAAGAGTTAAAATAAATATTCTTTTATCACAGCACTGCTGAATTCTTCATAAACATCACTTAATATAGCTGCACAGCTGCATTATTACCATTATTACATTCATTTTCAATCAATTGTCAATTATTTCTTGCATTACAACACTCCCAAACACACACACACACACACACACACACACACACACACACACACACATCGACTGTCACACTTTGGCAGACATTCATTATCACACTAAAACTGAGTTAATTAACACTTTCTCACCCCAAAGATAGAACAACATCCAGAACAGCTGATCTTGACACACACAGACATGTGTAATGTTACATAACACTAAACCTTCACTGATATGCTTTTCTATAAGTTCGGTCTCTATGAGTCATAATGTATCAAAGATCAAGCTGTAACGGCACAACAATGAAGCTGACCTTTTCTCAGAAATATATTCCCATTCAAATTTTTTTGTTTTAAGTTTTAAATCAAACCAGCTCTGAAATCAACTGAGCATTTGATTCAAATGAAAAATATTTGGCTTTTGTGTCTGTTTGAATTTCTAATTTAACACTTAACAAACTTGAAATCACTTATATGATTGTTTTTTTCCCCTATATTTTGTACTGATGCTGCTATAAAATTCTGTGAAATTAATTTAATGGAGCTGAGAGTACAAGACTCTTAAATCACATTAAATATTTAATAAATCAACAGAGAATGTGCAGAACTTTATAAAATGACAGCCATTTGATTTTTGAATCTGTCTGGGTTTTGTGTCAATTCGCATTTCCAATTCAACAAGTAAGCACAACTTATTACAATTATGAACAAACTTGAAAATGCACTTGTGTGTAATTGTTTTTTTTGCCATATTTTGTGCTGATGTTGAGATAAAATCAGCAAAATTCTGTGTAACAAATTTAAATATGGTAAAAATATGGTAAATGGAGCTGAGACTACAAGTCTAATTGCTGAAAACATCATCAAATTAGCTGAAATATGTAATAGACAAAGAGAAAATGTGTACGACTTTGCAAAATAACAGCTATTTGAATTATGAATCTGTCTGGGTTTTGTGTCAGTTTGCATTTCCAATTCAACAATTAAGTATGATTTATTATGAACAAACTTGAAATCACACTTACATATGATTGTTTTTCCAATATTTTGTGCTGATGCTGATATAAAATTCTTTAAAATGAATTTAAATATGGTAAAAAAATGAAAATGGAGCTGAGAACACAAGATTCTAATTTACTTAAAATGTTTAATAAATGAACAGAAAATGCACAGACCTTTGTAAAATGACAGCCATTTGAATTATAAATCAGTCTGGATTTTGGGTCAGTTTGCATTTCTATAACTTTACAATTAATTTATTATGAACAAACTCACTGGTTTTCCCCTTATGTTGTGCTGATGTTTACATAAAATCTGCACAATTCTGTGGAACAACTTTAAATATGGTAAATGGAGCTGAGAGTACAAGACTCTAATTGCTGAAAGCATCATCAAATTACCTGAAATATTTAATAAACAAACAGAAAAAGTGCTCAACTTTGTAAAAAGACAGCTATCTGAATTCAGACACCCTTTCTTTCATGCACGCCTGGCTGGTGCTAAAATTGTTTTGCAATGGAGATTTGAAAATGTCATTTTTACTTACAGTTGGGTCATGAGAGCGGCCCATAGTGCTGCCATGAGATTGAAAGTCCTTTCACACTGTTCACAGCAAACTGACAGCAGAGACGGCCATGTGTGTGTGTGTGTGTGTGTGTGTCTAAAACTACACTGCTTGCTCTCTTTATGAACCAATGTAGTTCAGGAGCTACCCTTGAAATTTTAATAGAACAAGTCTGTGAATTATGAATGTAGACGGAAGCAGAGACTCGCTCTCTCCATCACATGACTGCCGCTTCCAGAACCTTCCCGCTGTTGTGTTTTAGACTACATGAGAGAAAGCTAGCGTTACAATCCTTCTTTTGACTTGTATTTTCTGCACTGAACACATCCAGAAACGTAAAATCTCAACACCACAAGAAACCACACAAGTATCACTACAACTTTTCTAAAAAAGAAGGCCAAATTTGAACCATTCTTTAGTTTTAAATCATTTTTACATTCATTATCTCATTCAATTTCCAACATTTCTTTCAATTAACAAAAACTATATAAAACATTTAAGGTTAATACAAGACAAAAATAGTCAATCTTGTTTGCAAAAGCTGTTTTTACTAACTCTCTCCACCATCGTTCAAATATTTGACCTTTAGAACAAATTGCATATTACTTATGCTTACATTTTGTATTGCATCTATCAATATTTATACGGTGTAAACAAATAGCATAAATATAAAATATTGATAGATGCAATATCAAATGCATACAGAATCTACTAATATAGATATAGCCTATACCTTATCATACTTGTAAATATGGAGGACAAAACCTGCAAAAATTTAAAATAAATAATTGTATAAATATAAATAAATAACTATGGAAATAAAAAATATAAAAAATAAATTAAAGAATAACAATTTAGTTTAAAATAATAAAAATAAAGTAAAAAAATTAATACAGAAAATAATAAAATAAAGGAAAAATAAGTAAACTTGCAAGTTTGGTTGATTTAATTAAAAATGTATTGTATTTATTTTATCGAGTCATTTATTTCTTTATTTTCTTGTTGTTACATTTAATGAATGAATGAATGAATTAATTAATTAATTATCTTTTTAATTTTTGCTAGTTTGGTCCTCCATATGAAAATAGCTGTTGGCATAAATTTCAATTTCAATCATTTTAATCACAGTATTGAAGCTCTGACCTGCAATAAATTCAATAAAACAGAAACCACACAATATTAACACACATAATATTACACACTTCAACCTGTAAAAACACACCAAAACACACAACATCACAACCGTAACACAATGACAATCTGTCCTGCTTTCCAAAACACACACACACAACAAAATACACACGCACTACACCAAAATTGCATAATAGTACATACCCCGACAAACGCTACAGAGAAAAGAAACAAAACAGATTGCATGATCACATGAAAAGCTGTGGATTTTAGATAGAAGAGACATGATACACACACACACATGCACAGATGTGAGGAGTGTTTTCTTACCGAGGAGTAAAGGAAACCCTCTCCATTCATGGCCACGTAGAGTCCGGCCTTCACGCCCTGCATCGCCACGACCCGCAAACCCACCGGGATCAGGTTAAACAGAGCTGAAACACACCAACACCAACATCTCACTGCTCTGATGCTGAGCTCAGGACACTTAAAGGAGTTCCTAGATATGTTCTATCTAGAGTCAATTTTGTCTCACAATTTTCTCCTGAAATTCCTGGGAAAAATAAAAAGACATGCAGTATTTTGGTTGATATTTAGTTTTGTGCCATTCACAATTTAATTAATTTCTTTTAAATTAATGAATCTGCACAGAGGTAGCAAACAGGATGCAGAATTACGATTCAAATCCCCGCCCAAAAAAATCTGATAGAACGATAGATAGAATGATTGATTGATTGAATGATTGAATGATTTATAGACTGATCGATTGATAGAACGATAGATAGAAAAACAGAATGCATAATTACAATTCAAATTTGAATGTAACAAAGCAAAATTTAAATTTGAAATTCAAAAATCTCCGAACGATGGATGGATGGATGGATGGAACGATAGAACGGGATGGATGGATGGATGGATAGATAGATGGATAGACAATGATAGAACGATAGATGGATGGATGGATGGATGGATGGATGGACAGAATGATAGAACGATGGATGGATGGATGGATGGATGGATGGAACGATAAAACGATGGATGGATGGATGGATGGATAGATAGATGGATAGACAGAATGATAGAACGATAGATAGATGGATGGATGGATGGATGGATGGACAGAATGATAGAACGATGGATGGATGGATGGATGGATGGAACGATAGATAGATGGATGGATGGATGGATGGACAGAATGATAGAACTATGGATGGATGGATGGATGGAACGATAGAACGATGGATGGATGGATGGAACGATAGAACGATGGATGGACAGAATGATAGAACGATGGATGGATGGATGGACAGAACGATGGATGGATGGATGGATAGATGGATAAATAGATAGATAGATAGATGGACAGATGGATGGATGGACAGAACGATAGAACGATGGATGGATGGATGGATGGATGGATAGATGGATGGATGGACAGAACGATAGAATGGGATGGATGGATGGATGGATGGATGGATGGATGGATGGATAGATAGATAGATAGATAGATAGATAGATAGATATTGATAGATGGATAGACAGAACGATGGATGGATGGATGGATGAATGGTTAGATGGATAGATAGATAGATGGACAGATGGACGGATGGCTGGATGGATGGATGGATAGATGGATGGATGGACAGAACGATAGAATGATGGATGGATGGATAGATGGATAGACAGAATGATAGAATGATAGATAGATGGATGGATGGATGGATGGATGGATAGATGGACAGATGGATAGATAGATAGACGATTTCTCAGGGTCTGTTGCTTCTCAAAGGACAGATGTTTCACATGAAACAAAAGAATATTCAAAGGAGAAACAAGGGATGGAATGAAAAAGAGAGAAATAAATCCACTGAGTTTCAGAGGACGGTTTCAAACACTCGAAACGCTGCTGCTGATTCAGTTCCAGTCTGAAAAAATCGACAGGAGGGAAAAAACCCAGAGGAGAGAAAAAACAGGAGCAGCGGAGGAGTGCAGCAGGATAACGGAGGGATGGAGGGGGAGGAGAGATCAGAGAACCAGAACAAGGGATGAGTGTTCGTGTGGGATAGAGAGCGGAATATGAGAGAGAATTCATGTTTACAGCAGTATTCATGTGATGAGGAACACACTCTAGTCTACGCAACGTATGAACATAAACTCAATTCATGCACTGAAATGCAATTCACAACACAACATGTGAATATCTGTTAAAAATGTAATTTATTCCTGTGATCAAAGCCGAATTTTCAGCATCATTACTCCAGTCTTCAGTGTCACATGATCCTTCAGAAATCAAATCTGCTCAAGAAACATTTCTGATTATCAATGTTGAAAACAGCTGAATATTTTAGTGAAAACACTGCGATACTTTGTGAAATACTGCCATTCAATTTTTTGAAAGAAATTAATACCTTTTATTCAGCAAGGATGCATTAAATTGTTTAAACGTGACAGTAAAGACACTTATAAGATTCATAAAAGATTTCTATTTCAAATAAATGCTGTTCTTTTGAACTTTCTATTCATCAAAGAATCCTGAAAAATAAAATGTATTATGGTTTCCACAAAAATATTGAGCAGCACAACTGTTTTCAACATTGATAATAATCAGAAATGTTTCTTGAGCAGCAAATCAGCATATTAGAATGATTTCTGAAGGATCAATAACAATTTACAATATACTTTAAATTGTAATATTTCACTGGTTTTACTGTTTTCGATCAAATAAATGCAGCCTTGGTGAGCAGAAGGGACTTATTTTTTCTTTTCTTTTTTTTGATCAGAGGTATAAAGTGACAGACAGACATCTGCAGGAAACTTTTTTGCCCCCTCGAGTACTGAAGTTTGTTACTGTACAACATAACAACACGCTGAACAAGAATTCATGCAATTCTGTTTCTGCTTCAGCTTGTTCATCAGCTGTTCTTCATTTTGCTGGAAGCCGACCAAATTCTGTCTGTATTGTGTTTCAACTCTCCAGCTGATCAATATTCTCACTTTAGATGAAAACATGTTTGCCCACAGCTGTCGGATAAATGAGATCATGTTATATGAGAATTCCCAATGACTTGAAACAAAACAAAACTACACAAATCTGTCCTGAAACACAACATGCCAAAACTGATGCTATTTACTTTCTTAATGCACACTCCTGGTCTTGTTGAAAAGGATTGCATGTTACAGTGCATGAAAAAGTGTTTGTGTTCATAATCTTTCATCAAATTGAAATGAAAACTTTGCTTTTTTCAGCTGACATCGCCTGTTTCACTCATATTATCGTAGTCAAATGGGTTGCGAAGTGCATTTCATGTTGACTTTAACACTGAATCTGTCGTAAGACTCGAGGGCTGAACAGTAATGTGTGTCTCACGTGTGTCACACAAAGGCTCGCTGTCTAAGCCTGTTGGACTCGCTAATGTGAGTTTAGCAGATAAGGAGGAAGGCTGTGTGATTCAAAAGCATCTCACAGGAGATTCAAGACATGAGTGGGCACCTTCAAACCACTGAGAATGCAGGAGCTGCAATAGAGATGGAATGCTCCAAAATCCTGAGCTTTAGCAGTAAAACATCCCTCTCGAGATGAGCTCAGAAATGTGTGTGTGTGTATGTGTGCGTCCACACTCACTAATGCATATGCAGATCTGAGAAATACACACAAACTGTGAGATCAGGCGAGATCTCACACACACACACACACACACACACGTGATGAGGGTTCTCAGCTCTATCAAGAAAACATTCAAGTCACCCCAAAATCAAAGAAAGAAATTATTCATTTTGAGAATCTTTTTGTTTAAATAATTAAAATGAGAAATGATGTCTACCCTAGGAGCACTGAGATGTTTTGCATGGTGAAAAACACATTTTCCCCTCAAATTCTTATTATTGCAATGCATCTGGCCTCATTTTTCTTAATGTATAAAAACATGATAATAAAATGATATATACATATATTCAAAATGTTATCAATAAATGTATATTTAAAAATATATCAAAAGTCTGGAGTCAGTAAAATGTTAAAATGCTCTTCTGCTCATCAAGACTGCATTTACTTTTACAAAAATTTACAAAAAACAGTAAAAACAGCAATATTGTGAAATATTATTAATATTTCAAATAATTGTTTCCTATTTGAATATATTTTAAACTGTAATTAATTCCTTTAATGTAAAGCTGAATTTTCAGCATAACTACTCCAGTCTTCAGTGTCACATGATCCTTCAGAAATCATTCTAATATCAACCCTCTACATTGCGAGTAAATCACTCGCATATGCGACTAAATCTAAATGATGTCTAATATTAGCCAATGGCTAATAAATTCTTAGATTTTACTCGCCAGTGTGTGAGTTGGATGCTGAGTATAAGTTTAGCTTTTGTAATTTAATTCAAAAAAGCAAACTTTCTTATATTCTAGAGTCATTGCACACAAACTGAAATATTTCAAGAGTTTTTTTGTTTTGTTTTAATTCTGATGGTTACGACTTACAGCTTAGGAAATGTAAAAATTCAGTATCTCAAAAAATTTGAATATTTTCTCAAAGATCAATCAAAAAAAGATTTACAAAACAGAAATGTTCAAGGTCTCCAAAGTAGATTTAATTATGCACTCAATACTTGGTTGGGGCTCCTTTTGCATGAATTATTGCTTCAATGCGGCGTGGCATGGAGATCAGCCTGTGGCACTGCTGAGGCGTTAGTGAAGCCCAGCTTGCTTTGATAGCGGCCTTCAGCCCGTCTGTATTGTTTGGTTGGATGTTATTTATCTTCCTCCTGACAGTACCCCATAGAGAATCTATCAGGTCAGGCATGTTGGCTGGCCAATCAAGCACAGTAATATCATGGTCAGAAAAGCACTTG